CTATTCACTCCAAATACTCAAGATGTCATCGTGTTAGAACTCTGTGTTTTATTGGGACGAATGACAAGATTGATAAACGTTTGTCTAAATAATAATTAATGAAGATACGTGGTGGAAGAAGTCTTATTGTAAAATGTGTTCGACAAATAAAATAAACATCATACATTAATAAACTTTTTACTGCCTCATAGAATCGTTGGTTAAAAATATACATAAATTTTTGGTAATAACGAGTACCACAAATATGTTTATGGTTTTAACCATGTCAGGCTTACAGTTTTTTCTGCTACAATCGTTCATAGTTCTACAATGCTGACCACGGTTCAATGATGTATTAAGCGATGAAATATCACAAAATACATTCAAAACGCCAAAGAAAAGGGATGTTTATTCGGCGGTTTTACTCAATTGCACGCTACTTATTACTGATACTTAAGAGAATGGGGCAGCTGTTTCAAATTTTGCTTCTTTTTTTCCTCCATTGAACAAACTTTTAAAATACTTTCCTGTGCTTTGTCTGAAAATTCTACAGGTTGTTCAACCTTCTTAATTTTTACGGTAATAAAAGGTTCTCATGAACATACAATGTCTTGTTCCAGAATTCATCTGGAGTTGTAGTTTTGCACATGTCAACAGACATATTGCTTCTTGCCACTGAAAGCCGATCATCGGCCGGCTGCTCTATTCTTATGCACACCCGAGGGCTGATGAGAAGTAAGAAACAAAATTCTGATGACATACTAGATAGAGATCACAGCAGTAAAAAATTGATGTTTGTGTCTATGAGTAGTAAATTTTCAAGTCCTTAGTATTTTAACATCAACAAGCCATTATATATAGAAGTGGCGTGTCTACATGATCATTTGTTTTGATATAAAGATTATCTCAAAAATAACCTCATAGTAGTTGGTGAAGGCCTCAAACAACGTGAACACACCTATGTGACTCAGAGGAAAGTCCTTAAAATGACATGAAATAAATGGATTATTTCTTTATTGATTCAGAAGCTTCCAAATACGTAAACAATTCTGAAATTACCTGTGTTGGGGTGACAAGAAAAGCTCAGGCAACATTAAGCATTTTATCCAATCAGCATTTAACTGAAAGTTTTGCTAGAAACATTGCGAAAATGAAAAGTCATATGTGGAGTTTCTGATTGACTGAATACTTCACTACTACTATGTTTAGTAGTATTCTACAATTTTCGGGAAAACCGAAGGACTTCTAAAATACTATAAAAGCCCTGTATTTTCTGTACATAGATGGACTTTGGAGTAAAGTGTTTTTCGCATACTTTGCGCCTTTTCTCTCGTGTTAATGTGGCGATGTAGATTTACCTTGGTTAGGGGTTACAAGACTAGTGTAGACCATCAACGTAGATGATCTATTTCGAATGATTGGAGGCTTACTCAAGTAGGACGGGAACGGTGTAACGAATAAGCTAACTTTGAAGTCACACCCCACAACCAGCACCTTGCATGGGTTGCCCAATCGACGTATCAAGAGACCATGGATGCTCTTGAGACTGTACAACATAAAGGACGTTATTAAAGGAATATATTAGTTAAAGTAGATACAAGCGAAAGTAGAAACACTGCCACATCGGCCAGTCCCTGGCGTATGACAAACTGATGCGCGCTGATTATCCTTGACCTTGACGGGGATCGATGATCTGTTCGATATTTAGTGACCCAACTGCCGGATGATTTGGCTAGGGTTCAGTGACATTTCACTGGCCGTACACTAGCTTAAGATCCGAGTATAGCGTTTACTCAGCAAGACTTCTCAAACTGCATATAGCTCCAGACTGCTAAATCTCATCCACTACTGTGGTTTATTGATATATCTGTCTGCTTTTATTTTGTCTAGTTTCTTCTGAAATCATTATGCTCTTCTTATTTCCGAGACATCCACAGTTTTGACATATTGTCTAAGACAATGATCGTTCCATAGTATGTATGTAAGTTCCTTTTGTGTATGGGTTTGTTAGTATGTTTTTGCATATATGTGAAAATCCTCGATGTATCTACTTTGTATGAAAGACGCACAATTTTTAATTTCTGTTCTTATATTTGGATATTCCCTTCATTTATTAGTTCAAAAGTAGATTATTAATGTTCATTTTACTTACAATTCGGTATTCTAAATGTGTCATCTTATTATTGGTTTGTTATTAAATGTTAATTTTCTTTTAGATACTTTTTAAATTGGGTGGATAACGTGTGGATGGCGTCGAGTCTTGTTTGACTATGATCATCACTACAATAAGACTTGGTCCCTTTGATAACTCGCAAACTAGAAGACTGTGACCGGTCCAGATAGAGTATATTCATTTGCAATCTCGTGGTATCGAATGAATACCGAGACGCGCCAAAGATTACAGGCAATAATAACAGAGCGTAAGAATGTCCGAACCAACAAGATGGACAGCGGAACGAAAAGTGACTTTGGTACAGTTAAACAACAATGAGTACAGTAAAACAATCACTGATTCAATTGGTTATAATAATAATTGTTTCCATTACACCAATCGCGTTCTCGTCGAGAAAAGCAGGTCACTACAGACGTTTTGTTTCTTCGGATGCAAATAGCTACTGTTCGAGTTGATTGAACTTAAAAAACTAACTCCCGTAGATTGTTGGTGTTCTTTCTAATGGATAAGTAATCTATTTACATCAGTTAAGACTTTAATCACTAGGTAAGTTTTGGATTTCGACCATGCTACTTTATGTTAAATAATTTTTCAGCTATCGAGCCTGGTGTCGACAATAATTTAGGTACTTTGTAATCCTTATGATTAGAACCGTACCCATTCCAATCATTGTGTTTTGAATGTATCTCTGAGAAAGAACGTGTGTCTAGTGTATGATTTACAGGTATGTAGAATCCGACCTTTATCGGTCAGGATGAGTCATGTTATCCATCTAAAGCATACACTTATTTAAAACTGCTTCAATAAAACTAAATGGGTGATTTCCGACCCTATGAATTACTTTCATATGAAGAACTATCAAGCTATTGCCATCTGCATTTTCACGAACGTATGAAAATATTTATTTGCCTGTCTAATCCCATTAAACGTTTATAGCTGTACGTATTACGAGTCGATAATTCACAAATCAGTTGACTGCCAAGTCAATTACCTCACTACATAGTTGATCACTGGATCAATCTACTGAATAGTTATCGATCATTACTTCATTCCACAAATCACATCATGAGCATTTCGTACATTCACTTTTCTTGGCTCGTGATTTGACCAAACGATTTGCTTGACTGAAATATAATGTTTGAATTCACTTCCTAATTGGACTTCGCGTTTTGTTACAGTCGGTAATCATGATAAGAAGTTACCTCAATAACAAATTAGCTTGCAATAAAGTGTTGAATTACTTCAATTTCTTAAAGACACATTTGGTTCACCAAAACTAACAATGAAACTTATAATATGAATTTGATTTTATTTCTGATATATCTAGATATTATTGTACTAAAACATTCTCACTACCTCTATATGTTAAAAGAGACTGATCAAACTGACTTTCTTTATAACTAACAACATGGGATTACGAGATTTAAGACTGTCTCACTTAGCATCTAAGGTACTAACTCTGCACTTCATTTTGCTGTCGAACTCTACCAGGAAGTTCACATTACTTTTAATTTGCATGGAATATGTGTATAGCCTCGACTGTCATGTCATTTTTTGATCCCTAATCAATACTCAAAATTAACTAAAATGAAGATTATAAATTGGCGAGACTATAACTTATGAACGATCTGTAGTGACCTAGTTTTATGATGAGAACGCGATTGGTATAATGGAAACAATTATTATTATAATTAATTGTACCAGTGATTGTTTTAATGTACCTATTTGTTTAGGTGTACAAAACACACACATTCTTCCATCGCCTGTGACCTTGCATGAACTCACATACGCTCGGTAGTTCTGTTTGTTAACTTTGTCACAATCTCGGTATTCTTTCGATACCACGAGATCACCAACAAATATACCTTATTGCATACGCCAACTGCCTTCTCGTTTTTGACTTAAGGAGGGATTCAACTCAATATCTGGCACGTAATCTTCTTGTAGTGGTGATCATAGTTAATCGTTGCTCGATACCAGCTACAGAACCAACCAGGTATAAGATAATAGGTCGCAGATTTTGCTGCGAAATTCACTCATCCATTTGATTAAATGGAGTTTCGGCATTATAACTGATGTCAGTTCGTGATGGAAACCATAAATCTAATTCCTAACTTTGACGATCAACTGTATATCACAATTCTAATTCCTCACACTACTTTATGACCCTCACTGTGTTCTAGTAATTAGGTGGACACTCTTAAGGTCACTTCAACATCTCTCGAAAATCGTCCATAAATTATAGTCTCACCTATAAATTATAATTAATCTATAAAGCATATGTAGGATATTTGAATTGAATACAATAATCGTTGAATTTAGTATTAAATAACTTGACATCAATTATTGCTAGTATGTTCAGAACAACTCATTGAAGACAATGATAAATGGTTGCTTAATCTCATGGATTGGTTGAAGCTAGACATTAGCACCGTTGGATGCCGCCCAGCTCAGTGGTCTATCGGTTAAGTGATCTGGTGCGATACTTGTAGGTCTTGAGTTCGAATCACGCTAGGCGGGATCGTGGGTGAGCACTGTTGAGGAGACCCACAATAGGGCAAAACGGCCGTCCAGTTCTTTCAGGTTTCCCTTGATGGTCTAACTTCAATTGACTCATCATCTCAACTATATAAAATTAAAACAACAATTGAATAATATAATTTGTTTTCTAAATTTTTATTCATATAAACAAATATGATCAAAATATAAATGATAATAAAGAAGAAAAACAAAAACAAACAAGGAAATGTCTAAATAAAAAACATTTCAATATGAGAAGTACTTTGAAAGTAAAAAATAATGTTCAATATTACAGTTCAATATGAAACAATGAGAAACCATGGTAACGTATATATATATATATATATAAATATTTTTGAGAGGTAGAATGTTGAACATTGAATTTTCTATTGAACATTTAATCAAACTAAACATTCATTGAACATTGAACAGTATACATCTGAAATATTTTCTAATATAACTTTATTATTATGAAGAGGTAGGCAGACCGAAACCCGACTCATACATCTTTGTCGTACCTCCTGAATCATAAGATTGTAGTAATTCTTCCCGACAAAAAGGACCTATTAAACTTCATTATGTTACTATGACTGGAAGATTATGAGAAGAGGTAGAAAGAAGAATGAAAGAAGTATTCAACAACAACAACAATAAAACAAAAAAAAACACAAAGTACATTCATTTACATAGAATATTGAACCATTGAACAAATGATATGATTATGTACATTCTTTTGAAATACAATAAGAGCTGTACTTTTACTGATTATGTATAATATGTAAATGCTTATTACGTAATAGATTTATATTATACAGAGAGTTGTGGTAATATTAATCGACTTAATCCACGTTTTACTCTATGATTACCACAAAATAATGCACGCATTTGTTGTTCTGAATTATAACTTCTTAGCTTTGATGTAGTTAAACCTAATAAATTAGCTAATAAATCTGTATTAACTTCATATAATGCTAATACATCAACTAATTTCATACGTTGTGGATTAGATAAATAACCACATGTTGGATTACATTGTGGTATTAAATGATCAATAGCTGGTGTATATTTTAATGGATTATTGGTAAAGTAGTTCGATTGTGTGGTACTTTTGTTCTTATTGTTGTTATTCTTTGAGGCATCATCATTTGGTATATTTTTACATAAATAAGCACCTTGTATACCATCGATTGAAAATAATCCACATGAATCAATGACATGATACATGGAGGAACTTGATGATTGTCGGAAGATTGAATTGATATGTTTACGTGACTTTTTAGATTGTTTGATTGTTTGACTAGGTCTAGTCATTGTTAATGCATATGGATAAGATTTAAGAATAGTAAAATCATTGAAATTAAATATTTCATCATCATTTATGAAACTGTTGATTGAGCTACGTTTAAATCTTTTAGGATATTGATTAAGTAAATTAACAAGACGTGATAAAAAGATAAGTGTTGAATTTGTTACTGTAGGATTAATTGTTGTTGATGTGATTGTAGTCATACTTTCTTTTAGGTCAGATTGTTGATGATTCTTTGCATTCCATTGTTGAGCTTTAAGTAAAACATTAGGGTAATGTATTGAGAAATATAATAATTTTTGTTTGACCCAATGCCTGAGATGAAGCAGAAAAGAGAAAGTATAATGGTAATTGATATGTGATACAATTTAAAGTTTTTCAATAGTAATATTGATGATCCTGGACAAAAATCCAGTTAAAAATAAGAATCATGTGGTTGCTATAAGATTAAATGATGATTACTTACTTACTTACTTACTTAATCATGCCTGTTACCCCTCGTGGAGGAACATAGGCCGCTCACCAGCATTCTTCATCTAACTCTATCCTGGGCAATCCTTTCCAGTTGTTATTCATCCTTTTCATATCTTCTTCTATTTCCCGGCGTAATGTGTTCTTCAGCCTTCCTCTTTTCCGATTCCCAGTTAGGGCTTGCCTCGTGATGCAGTTTGGTGATTTTCTCAATGTATGTCCAATACACTTCCAACGTCTTATCCTAATTTCCTCTTCAACTGGAAGCTGGTTTGTCCCCTCCTACAGAAGGCTGTTGCTAATGTTATACGGCCGGTAAATCTTGAGTATTTTGCGAAGACAACTGTTGATAAATACTTGTACCTTCTTGACGATGGTTGTAGTAGTTCTCAACGTTTCAGCTCCGTACAGTAGGACTGTCTTGACGTTCGTATTGGAGGTTCTGACTTTGAAGTTAGTTGACATTTGTTTTGAGTTCCATATGTTCTTCAATAGTATAAATGCTGTCCTTGCTTTGTCCATCCTAGCCTTTACATCTGCATCAGATCCTCCTTGTTTATCAATGATGCTTCCCAGGTACATGAATGTTTCCACATCTTCCAGAGTTTCGCTATCAAGTGTGATTGGGTTAGTGTTTTCCGTGTTATATTTGAGAATCTTGCATTTTTCTTTGTGTATGTTAAGGCCTATCGATGCAGAAGCTTCTGCTACATTTGCTGTCTTCGTCTGTATTTATTCGTGTGTATGAGAGAGGAGGGCTAAGTCATCTGCCAAGTCCAAATCATCTAATTGATTCTGAAATGTCTATTGTATTCCGTGTTTCCCCTCAGATGTTAAAGTCTTCATAATCCAGTCAATCACCAGAAGAAAGAGGAATGGGGAGAGTTGACAGCCTTGTCTGACTTCGGTCCCTACTGGAAATGCATCTGTCAGCTGTCCTTCATGCATGACTTTGCACTGCAGTTAAAAGATGATACTGAAGTAACTTTAAGTAGAGATATATAGTGGTTAGTAGTAGGATTCAGGATGCCTTTATTTAATTTTGTTTGAGACTCATCAGCTGAATGTACTACCATCTCAGACTTGATAATCATTCCGAGATTAGAGTCCAGTACATTTCACTTTAAATGTCATCTTGTTATCCACTTAGTTACCGATCCTAGATAGACAATGGCCTGTATAAAGGAACTAATTTTATTTCATGTGGGACGAATAAAACAACCAATATACATGGATATTGATGTTATTTATCGAATAAGTTTCAAATTGGTCACCAGATTAAGTGAGTTGACATAACTTAAACTATAAGCAAAGATGAACAGTGGTTAGAAGTAGAATCCAGCTTGACGAGCGTTTCGTCCTATTTGGGACTCGTCAGCTGGCTGTACCTGCACATCAGAGTTGATGTTCACTCTAGGATTCGAACTCAGTACCATTCGCTTCAAACGTCATAGCGTTATCCACTCAGCTGATCAACTGCACTCCTAAAAAATCAATGGGAAGTTTCAAATAAACAATACCCATTGAATTCAAACTTCACCTAGTTGCAAACGTAAGTTGCTATCAGGACTCAGTAGCTGAGTGGATAACGCGATTGAGTTTGAAGCGAAATGTACTGGGTTCGAGTCCTAGAGTGAACATCAATTCTGAGATGCAGATACATCCAGCTAACGAGTCCCAAATAGGAGGAAACGAGCGTCCACAATTCCACTGCTAGCCACTATCCATCTTTGCTTACAATGTTGTTCGATTTCAGTCTAAAAAATTATGACCTTGAAACAAACTTTTTGGCACTTATCTTAAACAAAACTCAAACTCTTACCATTTTTATTTATGTATCATTCAATTTTATCAATTTCGAATTATACACAATCATAATAAATTGTTTTTGAACACATAAAAGGGGGTTTCAATTTCCGTATAGCCAAGGCTTCGATAAACCTAAGTATACGTCCTTGAAGGCTTTTGTATAACACTGAGCAATCGTGATTTGCAAATAAGGGTGGCGGAACACATACCTAAATGGCTACAGAACCAAGGGAATTCCAATGGTCAAATAAGATCACAAGATAGACAAACATTTTCCTCCATTTCGAAACATTTAGTTGAAATTGGTCATAAGGTTGACATTAAGTCAGCGTTAGTAGTGTTGTACAAAAGCCTTCAAGGACGTGTACTAAAGTTTATCGAGGCGTTAGCTATACGGAAATTGAAACAATCATAATAGTAATCAAAATGAATATGAATTCAAACTTACTTTTCTAATTCAATATCCCATGATTTGATTGCATTCACTAAACTTATTGTTCCAATCATTTTATGTACCCAATTACTGGATTTTGATCAATGAGTAAAATTAAATGAAAGAGATAAGAATATTAGTATTATAGAGAAGTTTACTTTTATCATTCATATTATTATGAGAAGAGGGATACGTGGAGATTCTAACAATTTGATGGTTGAATTCATGGACCATTTCGTCATAATATGGGACTTCTCAGAAGTGCATATCTACGATTCTGCATGTGTGATTCAAACCCGTGATCTATCGGTCACGAGCACGGACACTCAACCTCTAGTTCACTGTACTATAATCCATAGTGTTCATATCTAACTTTAACCAATTTAGGAAATCGCACCACAAAACGCTGTCCTGATAATAATCATCATGTGCTCACTAGTAACTGTTATGTCCTGGTGAGGGCATAAGTCCGGGTAACTTCCAGGACTTGCAAATGGACGATTATTCTCTATATATATTCTTATTGTTTAACCATTGACTAATTAGATTGTGTATATCTATCTTATAATAAGCTTCATTTTGACCTATGGATTATTACTATATGATTTACTGTTCCCAAATTATGTTCCGTTTATTGATTACTGTCTCCCATGTCCACAGCCACATTTGGCTTGATCTTGTACAAGTATTATTTTCTATTTAATGGTATAATGCGGTCTGTGTGGCATATAAACAGAGTATGCTTGAAATAAATGATTCGCATAGATTCGTATAGCAGAAGCTGCAATCGGTGTTCTGGACTCAATTGGAAGGGCTAGGCAGATAAGGGACCAATAAGGACGCTAGACTACTCATACTGGTCGAACATCATTGACTTGTAACAGTGTTAATATTAGAAAAGTCGTATTTCGAATGGTGGATAATTCACATGATAAAAAACCGGACACAAGATCAATGACGAATTAGCGTACGTCTTATATTTTTTTATAAAATCATTATAGTGAATGGCTTCAAGAGGTATTTCCTGGAGTTTTAGTCAGAAGCTGTGACCAGTAGCGTTCAACCGGGTCTGTTGTGAGATAATAACTCACTGAAGGCGGTGGCTCAGTTTCGTGAATTGTTACCATTATTATCAATCTATACTACCTACAGAAACCAAGGACATTTTGCATGTTTACGTCATACGATCATTGATTGGTAATCAGTGTGACATTGTTTATTTCTTTCTATTGATTGAATTCTGTTGATAAATTTACAGTATCGTGATTATATTAAGTCACTTGGTGCTGCAATATGCTTTGTTGGATGTTATAAAGATTAGAAGTTGGCTATGAAGAAGTCTCACATTGAATCTACTCCTGTCAGTAAGTGGTAAATCTAATAGTGACAACATTTTTGATATAGCTTTTTTCTCTGAGTTGGATGTTTTGATCGTGGAGCTTTCATCGTTACTCTCAACGACATCATCAGTAAAAACTTCGGGTAGAAGTGAAGTAACAAAACTAATACACTTCACAGAGTTCGAAAGAGTCATAGATAAAATAAAATTGAGCAACGTGGATAGTACCACAATTTTGTGTTTTATCTTATAAATAAGAGGTAATTTTGACATGGGTAATGCAACGATAATAGTTGAAAGAGTGAGTCAATTGAAGCTAGACCACCATGGGAAACATTGAAGCACTGGATGGCCGTTTTGTCCTATTATGGGACTCCTCAGCAGTGTTCATCCACGATCCAGCCTCACGAGATTCGAACCCATGACCTACCAGTTTCGAGCCAGAGCACTTAACCGATAGACCGATAATAGCCGAAACCATTTCTCTTTAATTATTTATATAACATAAAGATTGGTAACTAAGTGATCGAACCACTGGCATTTTTTATCTAATCAGTCTGAGAGTGTATTTTATTATCGTGTACAAACTGTCAACCAGACAGCTCTTATGTTTTTAATAGACAATGAGAATTCATATATTTTAAATGGATTCCATTGAATATTGTACAATGGAACAATCATTTGAAAAAACCCAAGATATATTCTCTGATTTATTAAGTTTGTAACAAAGCTTTAAGCAAACTAGCGAATAGTAACTATTCACTCGATAGTATGGAGGGGGGGTTATATCATCATAAAAAGTGTAAATCATATCCAAGTATTCAAACGTCCACCTACTTACTTGAACCAAATGAAGGTTATAAACCAGTGTAAGGAATTAGAATTATGATTTACAGTAAATCGTCAGCGTTAAGAACTACATTTATGGTTTTTATCACGAACTGATACCAGTTATAATGCCAAAACACCATTAAACCTAATGGATGAGTGAATTTCGCTCCAAAACCTGAGACCTATTATCTTATAACTAATTGGCTCTGTAGCTGGCGTCGAGTCGCGATTGACTATGATCACCACTACAGTAAGATTACGTGCCAGATATTGTGTTTAATCCCTTCGTAAGCCAAAAAACCAAAAGATAGTTAACAGATGCAATAAGATATATTTGTTGGTGATCTCGTGGTATCGAAAGAATACCAAGATCGTGAATAATGGTTTTTATCACGAACTGACATCAGTTATAATGCCAAAATACTATTTAACCAAATGGATGAGTGCATTTCGTGGCGATATCCGTGACCTGTTATCTTATACGTGATTGGTTCGTTCGTAGACTATAGTCTTGCTCCTCATAACTCTTGGCTTTTATTATCTCTTACATGTCTGTCATTGGCTATTTCAACTCATTATTTCCAGAAAATATGGTAAATATTTATACATCATTAGAAGGGAGTTTTGTGAAGATTTTAGTAATTTTATATAGTTGAAATCATGAGTCAATTGAAGTTAGACCACAAAGGAAAACCTGGAAGCAATGGACAGCCGTTATATATTATATGCTCACTAGTGACTGGCTCCATGAAGTATTTCCTGGAGTTCTAGTCAGAAGCAGTGACCAGTAGAGTTCAAACCACGTCTGTTGTGAGATATCAACTCACTGAAGACAATCGGTGAACGGCTGCTCAATTTCATGGATTAGTTGAAGCTAGACATTAACACTATCGGATGCCGACTCAGTGGTTTAGTGGTTAGGCGCTTGCGCGCGAGACTGATAGGTCCTGATTTTGAATCTCGTTAGGCGAGATCGTAGATGCACACTGCTAAGGAGTCCCACAATAGGACGAAACGGCCATCCAGTGCTTCCAGGTTTTCCATGGTGGTCTAACTTCAATTGACTCATGATTTTAACTATGAAAATAAACTTACTTTTTGGTTAAAATCTCATGATCTAGACATGATGGAGCGAATACACCTCTATATAAACAAAAAAAAGAGAGAAGAATTTTGGAATGAGTAACCTTAAACAGAAGGTTGAACAATGAAATTTTAAAGCAATATTGAATATTTATTCCTGGAATTGGAAACCTATTTGATCCTTTCAGTAATAAATTTATTCTCGAAGGAAGAAAAGTTTCCACTTTTATTCAGGTCAAATCAATAACTGATCAGTTATTCATCTGAGAAGACATATTATGCAATTCAGTTGGTATTTGATCGTCGTAAATTGTGAATCTTCCACACGTAACTTTTACTTACATTGGATTGTGGTGTTTCGTTTTTTCATCTTGAAATTACATAAAAGCTAAGAGGTCGAAACTCATAAGACTTTAACAATAACATTCACTGTGAACCCGAGGTACGGGGTTCGAGTCCCCTATGGAACATAAACTCTTAAGATAACAGGTAGGTCTTAGTGATAAGAGGAAACTAGCACAAAACCTAGTTCCAAGATTCTCCATTTTTAAATTTTGTTTATTCAATTAGTATTTTGAAAATATGATTAATTAAATCATTTTCATTCTTATCTATAATGATCATTATTCTTAGACTTAATGAAGAATAACAATGTAACTTAATGAACTGAAGCTTATCACAGTTGATTGATCACTGGGTGGTGACCAATGTCATGCGTGTCAAGTCCTTCTTAGTGTTGATCGAATGCTATTGATCAAGTTGCAATGTGAGCGCTAGTCTAGGTGGCTCGACACTGCGTGCACTATGTTGAAATAAGATGGTGGTTGAAGGTGGTCAACAGGAAACCCTGGACACGTGTTTCATGCTACTTCGCACTGGTCAGCAAGGTGTAGTTGTAACCTTGAAGAAGCTGGTGCTCCCTGACGGATTAGATCCCGTGTCACTCAGCTTCACAGTCAGAGACTTTACCACTGAGTTATTCGGGCCGCGACCGACCTTCTGTAGGACTGAGATTTAATCACAATTGATTCATCAGCACTAAGAAGGACTAAGCACGCATGACATTGATCACCACCCAGTGATCAATCAAATGTGATTACATACCAGTCCTACAGGAGGTCGGTCGCCACCCGAATAGCTCAGTTGTAACGTCTCTGACTGTGAAGCTGAGTGACACGAAACCCGTGTTCAGGGTTTTCTGTTGATCACCTGCAACCACCATCTTACCTGAACTGAAGCTTATCTTTGATCTTCAGTATCCAGACGATAAGCATTTATGAACCCAAACAGCATAGAAACTAAAATTTTTAAACCTTATGGTTAACAAATTGTCTTAAGACTAATTATTCAGCTTCCAATGGTTCACATTTTCATATTCAATTAGTTTTTATAAATAATGTCCAGTCATCATTCGTTAATATCGATGTTAACTGTCTCACTTTTAAAAACCATTGAAGTCTTTTTCTTTCCAATAATTTGTTTTATCCATCAATATGAACTATACTTCAAGAATTTCACATAGGAACAATAGGAACAATAACGGGGCGGACTTGCATGCATATAGCAAACAATTCTCTTTGAACCTAGCACACAACAATACTGTCATTCACTCAGTAGCTAAGTGGATAACGCAATGGCGTTTGAAGCGATCGGTACTGGGTTCGAGTCTCAGAGTGAAAATTAACTCTGAAATGCAGGTACATCCAGCTGATGAGTCTCAGATAGGACGAAAGGATCGTCCTGGATTCCACTGCTAGCCATGAGAATTTCACATACTGAAATAATAAGCTAGTCACCACATTATTCCATGTAATCAATACAATTGTACAACTTCTGTATAATAAAGCCATTGAGAGGAGAAACTTGTACAAACAGAATGTATTACATGTCTAAATAGGATATATATAAATACTTACTTACGCCTGTTACTCCCATTGGAGCATAGGCCGCTAACCAGCATTCTCCGACCCACTCTGTCCTGGGCCTTCTTTTCTAGTTCTATCCAGTTTTTGTTCATTCTTCTCATGTCTGTCTCCATTTCTCGATGTAATGTGTTCTTTGGTCTTCCTCTTCTCCTTTGGCCTTCAGGATTCCATGTGAGGGCTTGTCTTATGACGCAGTTGTGTGATTTCCCCAATATGTGTCCTATCCACTTCCAATGCCTCTTCCTGATTTCTTGCTCCACTGAAATCTGGCTTGTTACCTCCCACAACAACTTGTTGCTGATAGTGTCTGGCCAACGGATCCGAAGTATCTTGCTTAGACAACTGTTGTATCTTCTGGATGATGGCTTTCGTAGTTCTCCACGTCTCCACCCATACAGTAGAACTCTCTTGACATTTGTATTGAAAATTCTGATCTTGGTGTTGGTTGACAATTGTTTTGAGTTCCAGATGTTCTTCAGTTGTAAATATGTTGCTCTTGCTTTGCCTATCCTCACCCTCACATCTGCATCTGATCCACCGTGTTCATCAACGGTGCATATATATAAATAGTATATATGTATATGTATATGTTATTATTATTATTATTAACTTACCCAGCTGATTGAAGACTACGTGCTACTTCTTTACCTAAATTTTGTATATATACCCATTTTGAATATGTTCCACCGGTAAGTAATGGGACTTTAGACATTTGCATTTGTGCTTCATCAAATAAACTTTGAACAATATAAACTGGAGCTTAAAAGAACAAGTAAAAATGAAAGTATTATTACTCAAGAAGGAACATTTTTATGTTTTCTGAAAAATTTGGTTACCAGGTAACTGTATAAATAATCATTTCATATAAGTTAGTCATTTTGATCATTTGAATAATTGAATGGTAGTTTCAAGTAAACATTTAAAATAGTGGCTGGCAGTGGAATCCAGTTTGATGCGCGTTTCGTCCCATTTGGGACTCGTCAGCCGGATGTACCTGCATTTCTGACTAGTTGTAGTTCTAAGCATCAATGGGAAGATTCAAACAAACAATAATAAGTGAATTCTATTCAGATGTGTTTGTGAAAATTTTATGACATTATGCTGTACAAGGTACAAAAGAGCCTAATAAGAGATATCGTAGTTACTGACTATATGGAGCGCAAAGAATATACATTATTCAGATACCGAGTCCTGAACTGCCAACATCCAGCTAGTGTACACTCAAGGTGTTATCGTCAGGATTGATGAAAAAATAAGAAACGAAAACTCATTGAGAACCCTATATTGTACAAAATCGCAACCGATTACTTCAGATTCCACTCATTCAATAAAAATATCAATAACAAGATTCTTGAGTAATAAGCATAAGACATAACGAAAAACAAATGTGACGGAATAAATTGACCGTGAAAACATTTATTTCCGAAACTGTTTGTTAATTCAATGTAGAACATAAAAAGATAAAACAAGGAAAGTTACTAATAAGAAATATCAGAAGGGGGGTTTTAAGGCAAATTTTTAGAAATTGTATAGTTGAAATCATGAGTAAATTAAAACAAGACCACCATGGAAAATCTTGAAGAACTGGATGACCGTTTCATCCTAGTATGGGGCTACTCATCAGTGCGCGTTCACGATCCCGCCTCGCAAGATTCGAACTCAGGATCTATCGGTATCGCGCGCGAACTATTAACTTTTAGACAACCGAGCTGTTATCCAAAGGCATAAATGCCTACTTTCAAGCAATCCATGAAACCAAGCAACCACCATTTTGAAAATTCGATGAGACAGCAATCACTTTTATTTCAAAATAAACATGAAAGGTTTCATGTACCTGATTAGTCACAAATAATGTGACAAGAAATATGTTACCATGTTGGATAGATGAATGAACTGAACCACTAAGATTGTTAGATGTAAATGACTGTTCAACTCTTGTATTAACTATTATACTTTAGAGAATGTAATTATAATTCATAAATAATTGAAATCCTGGAGTCCTGAAATAGACATCAACTTTCACATGCGATTACATTCAGCTGACAAGTCCCAAATAGGACGAAATGCAAATCCTGGATTCCACTGCTAGCCACTATCTATCTTTACTAATTCAAATCTTTTTTATAGTAAGTTAATTTCAATGATTTGATAAACGTACTTCTTAAATGTGGATACATAAATGGTGCCAAATAACATTTCCATTTTTCTTCTTTTGGATGAGCTTTACGACATGGTTTCGGTATTCTGGGATTCCAAAATCTTCCATTAAAAATAAACAAATATAACATATATATTCATATACATATGTGTAGAATAAAAAATCTTACATATAATCCAAACTCATTATGTTATGAAATAAAAGGAATTTTTTTTACAGTAATTAATACTTTTCGTAGCTGAATTTTTTGTAGTAGGGATTTAAGGAGATCATGAAGTTTTTGATTGTTCACTAGTGACCAACTTCGTGAGAGAATTCTCGGAGTTCTAGTGAATAACCGTGACCGATGGAGCTAATCCATGATAGGTAGAGACAGGTATCTATCTCAATACAATGGAAGATAGTCAGTTTCGTGGATTGGTTAAGGTTAGACATTATTACCGTTGGATATCATCTCAGTGGATTAGGGGTTAGGCGTTCACGCGCAAGACAAAATCTCCTGGGTTTGAACCCCACATGAGGGATCATGGACTTGCACTGCTAAGTAGTCCCATACTAGAACAAAACAGTTGTCCAGTGCTTCCATGTTTTCAATGATGATCTAACATCATTAAATTCAGCCTTAACTAAATATTAGGTTAAAAATGTACTTCAATAGAGTGATAACTTATAAATCATCCATTTCTTGTGACTGTATTGTTGTAATCTAAAATTCTTCTAGTTAATAACTTCACCGTCGTCACATCAAATAAATTACGGCTCATTATGATGGTGTTCTGTTCAATAAATAAAAGAACTGAGTTCATTAGGATCTAAATCGACTAGGTTAAGATCATATTCATTTGATTTGTCTTACAATACATCCGATTTGTAACAAAATAGATTTGTTTTCATTTCCCCTATTCTATCTTTCAAATGGACTGATTATTGCATGTTTTATCATCTCTACATTGCATTATGCCTTTGTTGTATCCCGAAGAGAATTGTGAATGGTAAATTTTGAGGACTATTTGTGGACCAATATGATATGTATATTTCCTATTGTATAATTGTTAATTAACTAACCTAATCATATTCGTATTCTTCTTATTATAAGTTTTATTTTGATCTTTGAACTATTATTATACGATTCTTGAGTTACCATCAGTCTATCGATTACTTTCCCCCTATTCACAGCCACATTTGGCTATATATTGTACAAATGTTATTTTCTACTTTATGGTACGATGTCGTCTGTTTGTTTGATATATAAACCCAGTATGTTTGTGAATAATGATTTATACCACAGAGGCTGTTATTGGTGTTCTGGACTTAACTGGTTAGGCTAGGCAGATCGCAGGACTGGTGAGCAATCTAGACTGCTCGTACGGTTTTCGTGTGTCATTGTTCCAATCGATGATTCGCTGATCCCTGATTGGCGGTCTTATGAAGTCACACATTAGCTAGGCATCCACTCAGCCACACGATATAACAGCCTCGCACCGTATAGTCATTTTGTATTCCCTAAATGCAATGAAATCTCAGGATGCAGGTATAAATATAGAGCCTTATCCAATCTAGTGATCGAACGATAAGTTTAACATTTGCAAATAAACGCTAGATTGTATTGATACAGGAAACATCTAGTAGTATTATACTAATTTGATCTCATAAGGCTTTCCGAGAGTTTCATTAGAATATCCACATCAAAGACACTATTACTATTTTTCATCCAGGGTCAGATTATCTGTGGATAGCGACCTAAATATCGAAAACAAGAAGCTTAATCCAAGTACTTCTTGAACCCATCCTAGCTTATAGTATTTTAATTTATCTTTTATGAATTATAACTTACTTCATTCCTCGATGAATACCTTCTTCTGGTGGACATTCAAATGCATTAATACATTTACTTTCTTGATAAGGAGGAATGTGAATAAACCATGATGAATCTATTATTCCACTAACTAATACAGGATATCCAATACGATTAAATAATTTTTTACCTAATCTATCAATATTCATAAGTACACCGATTCCTCCAGCACTGAAAAATATAAAACATATTTTTTTTTAGAAGGGTCAAAAGTAAAACAAATCTGACATTTGTAAGCAATGATGGATAGTGGCTAGCAGTGGAATCCAAAACGCGTGTTTGGTCCTATTTGGGACTCGTCAGCTGGATGTACTTACATCTCAGAGTTGATATTCACTCTGAACTGAGTGAATAACGCGATGGCGTTTGAAGCGAAAGGTACTGGGTTCGAGTCCCAGAGTGAACATCAACGCCTTAATCCACAAGCATTATAAGCACGGATGAATCGATTCCAGTCCTAAATATCAATGGAAAATTTCAAGTAACCATTACCAAGTGAATTTAAACTTCACTTAATTGCACAAGCTAGTGGCTATGGGGACTCAGTAGCTAAGTGAATAATGCGATTGTGTTTGAAGTAAGCCATACTGAGTTTGAGTCCCAGAATGAACATCAACTCTGAGATGCATATATATCCAGCTGACGAGTCCCAAATAGGATGAAACATGTATCATGCTATATATTGTCCATCTTTGTTATTATTATTTTGATTGTATTAAAATATTCTGCATTGTTTCCACGTTGTACCATTTAAACTTGTGTTAATTTTATTTGAGTTATTTATTTACTCTGAATGGATGACTTACATTAGGTCATGAAATGTCAGAAAGACAATTTTTTACTCATTGGAATATTATAAAATTATATTTGCTATTAAATCCTAGGTGTTCAGCTCTATAAATATATTTGAATAGTGAATAGATGGTCGACGGTCACGCAATATCGTGGATCGGTTGAAGTTAGACACTTACACCATTCGACGCCTGCTCAGTGATCTAGATGTTAAACGTTCGTGTGCGAGATTGATAGGTCCTGGGTTCGAATCTCGCGAGGTGGGATCGTGAACGCGCACTGCTGAGGAGTCTCATACTAGGATGAGACGGTCGTCCAGTGCCTCTAGGGTTTTCATGGTAGTCTAGCTTAAATCGAATCATGAAGCCAACCATTAAATTACTACAAGTTCCATAAATCCTCACTCTGATAATAACTATTTCATCATAATACACCTCGACTATAAATGTAGAATCTAATTTGAAGTAAACAGTTAAAATAAATCAGTTAATTTCTTACCTAGAACCAGCAAATATAACTTTCTCTGTATAGGCTGCATTTTGCCATGGTATATTATCAATAACTGCTGCCAGTATACGTGATCCATGAAAATAGAAATCTGTTCAGTATGATATAACAATATATGGAAAACATGACAAACTTATCAAATAAACACATAATTGATGCAGTCTTAAATGAAGTTAACAATAATTAGTTAAAGCTAGTGGTTAAATTCATGAGTCAACTTCAGCTAGACTACCATGAAAAACCTGGAAACACTGAACCGCCGTTTCGTCCAATTGTGAGGCTCCTCAGAAGTGCGCGAACACGATCCCGCCTCGCGAGATTCGAACCCAGGATCAATTAGTCTCGCGCTTAACCTCTAGACCACTGAGCCGGCTGGCATCCAATGGTGTTAATGTCCAACTTCAAACAATTCACAAAATTGAGCAGAAGTTCATCAATGTATTCAGTGAGTTACTATCTCACAACAGACCTGGTTGAACTCCACTGGTCACTGCTTCTCACCAGAACTCCAGGAAATACCCCTATGTTAAATGTTTTTTATGACTTAGTTTCCATGACTAAACTCTGTTTTTATTATTTAATTCTATTTGTGAATCAAAATATCCGAATAGAATCATGATTGATCACCTTTTGAATGTAAGAAATTTTATAGTAGACATTTTAACAACATAGTTTTTCATGTGAAAAATTCTAAAATTAACACCATTGGATACCGCCTCACTAGTTGAGAGATTAGATGTTCGAACTCAAGACTGAAGATCCTGAGTTCAAATCTCACGTGCATGATTGTGGATGCACACGACTGAGGAGTCCTATACCAGAACGAGACTACTGTCCAGTGCTTCTAGATTTTCAATAGTGATCTAGCTTTAATAGACTCATGAATTCAACTGTTACCATGCTACAATCTCCACAAACCCCCATATTGATAAATCCATATAAGTGTTTTTACATAAACTTAGAACAAATATGTTTAGTATAGACTAGTTATTGAGAAAATTGTGATTGGCTTATCTTTCTTATGTTATATCTCGAACTTACATTCTTAATATGTCGCGTATTACTTGAGCACTCGAACGCTAGAACCTTCACAAGTCACAAATCAGAACACAGAAGACAAGTAGAAGGAATGTTATTCCAAACAATGTCCATTATAGTACCAATATCTCAGGTATTTATAGTTTTTAGTAGGAACAAATTATCATTATAGTTATCCAATCCGTACACAGGGGGTTATTAGCATTGTCCAAATAGGAAAGCTACACTTCGTAATTCTGGAATATTCTTCCAAAAACCAATTGGATGGAATATATTCGGTTCCTTCTGAGCTTCTTAAACCTTTTTCAACTTCACCTGTGAACCGTCCTTACATCTTAACTAAACATTATAATATTATTCGATTATAACATTTTCATTTTAGTAAACATTCAATTATATCTCATTTGATTATATACTTCCAGTTTAATTTAAATGACATAATTGGGTGATCAGCAAATAAAAATGAACATAACAATCATTGATGAAATTCCACAAACTTTAAGCTCAATGATAAGCTAAAAGAGTTTCATTTTAAACATCTAAGATCAAAAATAACAAAATTTTAGTAACGTACAGTTATGTAGTACGGTTGGTAGGTTTTGTAATAACACATTCAATAATGTAAATTATATTTATCACAGACTGATACTGTTATATCTTAGTGAAGAAGTAAGTACGGATAACTTCTAGGACCTACAAATGGACGATTATTCTATGTATATTCTTACTGTTTAAATATTGAGTAATTAGCTTGTGTACATCTATATTCATCTTATTATAAGCTTCATTTTGATCTATGGATTATTACTATACGATTTACTGTTCCCAAATTATACTCAGTTTATTGATTTTTATCTCCTACGTTCACAGCCACATGTGGCTTGATCTTGTACAAATTTTATTTTCTATTTTATGGTGTAATGCGGTCTGTCTGTCTGGTACATAAACTGAGTATGATTGAAATAAATGATTCGCATAGCAGAAGCTGAAATTGGTGTTCTAGATTCAATTGGAAGGGCTAGACGGACAAGGGACCAATAAATATGCTAGGCTGCTCATATTGGTCGAACGTCATTGTTTTGGCACAGTGTTAAGGTTGGAAAAGGCGTATTCTGATTGATGAATAAATCACATGATAAAAGCCGGACATAAAATTGGCAACAAATTGGCGACGGCTTTTTTTTGTAAATTCATAACAAATACAAGTCAAGATATCACTGAAGATCATGAAAGATCACATTGCATGTTAGTTGCTTCCTAGTACTAGACTTTTCAGTAGATTACTAGTAGTTTAAGTCAGTCAGCTACAACAAGGGACCAGGCACATATATACATCAGTCCAAGTTTCCATACCTCGTTAGCACAACAAGATGAATACCGGATTCATAGAAATAGTTAATTTAGTGGTGGTAGTATATAAAGGTAAGTTGTATATAAGAATATAGTATAGGAAGGAAGACAGATATGAAGCAATTTCAATCTTATAGTTTAAGGGAAGATAAAGAGTGTATTCGCCTACGCCATTGTAATCGATTCTGAGCCATGTCGCCTAGAGTCTCCAACTATTGGTTACGATAGTCAAGCGGACCCCAACCAAGTAGTCTGTATCTGCCAACATGTCTCAGACTAGTAGTTTATAATGCTATTGCAAACAATATGGATAATCTTTAACATCTGATTAGTTTTATTTCATAACCATTGTTTAGATCCCCAGATCCTTTTGTCAACAAAAGTTATTATTTTAAGACATAGTTTAGAGAATGTAAAAGTTAAAACTTCAAATTTTCATCTCTTACCTCCACTACGATTAGCCATTTTCCCAGTCCATAAATCACTTGAACAATATGGAATGAAACTAGAAAAATTATTAAAAAAAAGATGAAAGTATTGTACTGAACAAGAAGACGAGCTGGGGGACAATCGAATCTATTTAAGCACAGATGACAGACTATCTCAAGGAATTCTGATAACCATACAGTAAACAACCAACCAACAACCAATTTTCTCAATCTTCATTGTTCCTTTTGTAAATATCAGTCCATCTTCTCTGATTTCATTGTTCCTGCATTTTCGTACCGATTGCGCTTTATTCCTGTACGTTCCATATCGATGTTCTGCCAAAAATACATTCTATATCTAACCATCACCATATACTACTTATGTGGATATAAGTAGATCACACCACATGATGATTGACATTTTCTTATATATTTAAAATTAAAACGATACAAATAAAAGAAGATTAATCATGAATAGTATTGAACTTACACACTATGAAATTCATGATAATTTGGATTTGCATTTGAATCTGATGAAAGTATTCCACCAACTGTAATATAAAGGCAAAATAAATATTTAGATCATTCTAATCATAACAATAATGAGAGTTGCATTCACTTTATATATACATTCAACTAGTTTTACCGAAGATACGTTTCAATTTGTAAATCATCTGGGAAATCCTTGAATATCATCCATTGAAAACTTGTTTATTGTTCTAATAATATATCGTCATAAACTGAAATGGATTGCTGAAGGTCAACTGACGAAGATAATATACTGAACGAGAACACAAATGGGGACAATCGAATGTAATATGAATACGAGCATAACAGATCATCTTAGTAAGATCTGAGAACCATACAGTAAATTCTTTATTTGCAAAATGTCAATCAATTGTCTCGAAGTTGATTATTCCTTTTGCAAATATTAGTCAATCATCTCAGACTTCAATGTTTCTGCATTTCCATACTAAATGCTTTCTGTTCCCGTTCATTTCTTCTCGATCTTCTACTTTCAGACAGTCTATTTCTGAATAACGTTAGATACTACTTATGTCGATATAAGTAGCATACACATGCTATGAATATGCCCTATTGAAAAGTATAATAGCATAATGATGATCAAATGATGCAATGCTCCTTGATTTGGAATAATCCATTAACTAGTATTATTAAGTGATATAAGCTGAATACCATTGGATTGTTTGTCATTGTATTAACAGTAAATTATAGTCATGATATAATATGGAGTATATATAGCCTATAAATTGAGTCAGATAAAATTAATGCAAATCCTTCACATTAATTAGTTTTCGAACATTTTAAGAAACGTACACCAGTGGAGAAGATTTGTAGCTCAGGTTTGTGCTAATGATGTCGTTCAGAAGGACGATTAAAGCTATACGACCAAACCATCCAGCTCAAAGAACAAAACTCCATCAAAGTATACCAGTATCTATCAATTTAATTGTACATGTCAAGATATAGATATTAGAAGGATTGAAGGTGAGACTATAATTTATGGACGATGTTTGAGTGACGCTAAAGTAATATTGAGAATGTCCATTTACATACTAGGACTGAATAAGGATTATAAAGCAGTGTGAATAATAAGCATTATGCTTTACAGTTGATGGTTATGGTTAGGATTTAGATTTATGGTTTACATCATGAACTGACATCATCTTAAATGCTAAAATGTTATTCAGATAAATACGTGAAGGAATTTCGCGCCAAAATCTTTACCTCTCTTCAAGGATTTAATTAGTTAGTAATCTTTTTAGATGAATAATCCATATAATAGTAACATTAATTCTCCATATACTTTTTACGGTTACTGTTGTGTCGTGTACTACTGATGTCAACAAATATAAGTAGTATAAATCATCAATCGAAATTGAAATACTTAGAGGCAAAAGATTAAGAACATCAAAGAAAGGAGAACGAGAACAAATAATGATTGATATAGAGTCAAAAGAATAATGAAGTCTGAGACGATTAATTGACATTTGCAGAGGGAAAAATTGAACGATATTTTACAAATGAAGTATTTACTGTATGGTTTTTTTTTCTTTTTAAGGCTTTTATGTATGGTAAGGTGATCCTTTTGTTGATTTCTATACTTGACTTCGTTTCTAATGATGGGTACGGCTGGTATTTTTTGATGAAATTTATTGGAAAGCCGTTCTTTTGAAGGATAGTTTTCAGGTATTTTTCTTCAATTATTCGTGTTGTAATTGTTTTTCAGTGTGTCCTCTCCCTCTTGAATAAAGTTTGTACACAGTTGATTTTGTGAGTTCTTGAGTTGTTGCTATTGTAGTTGAGAATTCGATCGGTTTGGGTTGGCTTCCTATACACTTGAGTCTTCAGTTTACCTGCGTCGGTTCTGGTGAATAATATATCTAAGAATGAGAGCTTGTTGTTCGACTCTTGTTCCATGGTGATCTTGATGTCATTGAAAACGTTGTTGATCTGTATGTAGGTGTTTTCTAGTTCATCCTTTGTGACGACGACGAATGTGTCGTCTACATAATGAACCCCAATTTTTGGTTTGATCACTGATAAGATCATGGTTTCTAGTGTCTGCATTACTGCTTCTGCGATGAGTCCTGATATTGGCGATTCCATTGGTGTCTCTTTTGTTTGTTCGTAGATCTTGTTATTGAATTGGAAGTATGTTGTTCGGTATAAATCCATCAGCTCTAGTAGGTTTTGACTTTGAAGCTTCATATATTTTGTGAGATTTTCGTTGGTGATTAGAAGCAAAGATAAAGTTACTTTTGCTAAGCTTGGTTCAATTGAAGTGAATAGCGCCGTTGCGTCGAAAAATATCATTAGGTCGTCGTTGTTGATTTGAATGTTCTTAATCTGATCACGAAATTGTGTGGCGATTTGATTGAATGGATCGACGAATCCACTTAACGTTTCAGTAATCGTGAAATTTCTTTTGACAAATTGTACGTTAGTGTTCCTCGTAGTGCTTTAATTCGACGTTGTGGAATGTTTACTTTGTGTATCATGTGTAATACCGTATGGTTCTTAGATTTTACTAAGATGCTCTGTTATACTCGTATTCTAATACATTCGATTGTCCCCACTTATGTTTTCATTCACTATACTGTTTTTACATTGATCTACATTAACAATGTCAAATTCAATATTAGGCAAGACTTTGTTCCTAATCACTGTGGTGGACAAAGAAGAATACATCAAGAAAGCCGAGAAACTACTCAAGAACAAAAGCATATACAAACCGATGGACATAAATTCAGTTAAAAAGCTAGACATTAGACAAGACTTCATTGATATATGTGAGGATGGTCCACAGTTGAAGTCAAGGAAGCTCTTAGAAGCCCATTCAATCAGCTTTGGGAAGAATATTCTATAATCACTACGTGTAGCTTCCCTATTGGACAATGCTGATAACTCCTTGTCTGCCGATTGGATAACTATAATGATGATTTTGTTTCCATCAAAAACACTTAATACCTGAGATATTGGTACTATAATGGACATTGTTTGGAATAACATTCCTTCTACTTGTCTTCTGTGTTCTGATTTGTGACTTGTGAAGGTTCTAGTGTTCGAGTGCCCAAGTATTGGGCAATGGACTAAGAAATCTAAGTTCGCGATATAACAATGTAATGTACATATACTTGTTATATGATTTCAATTATAAACAGCTGAAGAGAGTTCATACAACATTCATAACTTACGTGTTCGAGTTTTTGGCCAAAATTTTGATGAGAATAAAGAAAATGCATTAGATTCACGTAGAATACAAGTTTCTTCATCAAAACAATACCAACCACCTTGAAAAAATAATTAAAATTATATTGGAAGAAATCAAGCAGATTGTAAATAAGCATGATATAAAAGTTCACTTGGTATTGTTTGTTTGAATCTTTCTATTGATGTTTAGATCAGTCTCTTATTGACTATACATGTGTTTATTGCCTCGATATAAGAGACTGACCAATATCAGTCCTAAATATCAATGAGAAGATTCGAACAAACAATACTAGGTAAATTTAAACTGCACCCCATTACACAAGCAAGTGGCTATCAGGACATAGTAGGTGAATGAATAACGCGATGGCATTTGAAGTGAAAGGTATAGGGTTTAAGTCCCAGAATGAACATCAATTCTGAGATCCAGATACATCCAGCTGACGAGTCCTAAATAGGACAAAACGCGCATACTGAATCTATTCGCTCGACACTATCCATCTTTGCTTACAATGCTTATGAAAAAAAATCTCTCTATATATGTTTCTATGATGATTTTGATTTTGATTATTACTCTGAAGAAGTTCCAGACAAGTTAACTGGACAAAACATTGGTATTATCTTCAATTTCAATCATTAAAATTATTTCATATATAATTTTCACATACAATTGATTACTCTCTACTTGGTAACCAATTGTTGTCAAGCTATCCGTTTTAATCTTAACAATTATTCATATAAATTACATTTAATTATAGTAAACAAAAACCGTTTTACTTACCTTCAAGAAATATTAACCATCTATTTACTGTTTTATATTTTGCTGGACGATAATAATAACTAAAATATAAGAAAAAGAGATCAATAAATAAATAATCAATAATTTAAAAAAAAAATATTTTAATAAAATCAATAATCAATATTTCAATAAAATCAATAAAAATTTTCAATGATAATCTAATATCGATTAATATCAGAAAAGATTTTTTTTTTTGCTGACAACTATTACTCACTACTGAAGAGTTTCACAATAGGACGAAACAATTATTGATTATTGTGATTTACCTTAGATTGGCTAATGATTTTAACTATTAATTTAGATTAGTTTATGAATCTAATGAAATTAAATAAATCATTCAGTTATTTTGAAAATCTTAGGTTTATATATTTAATCATGAATCATTTTGATATTAATAAACATTGATTAAATTTATACTTTGAGGCAAGCTCTAACTTGGAATTGTGGAGGAAAGGTAAAGAAAACACTACATTGGGTATTGGAAGCAGATATGAAAAAGATGAATAGCAATTGGAATGAACTGGAAAAAATTGTCTAGGACAGGGTTGAATGTAGAATGTTGGTTGTTGGTCTATGCTCATCCACAAGAGATAACAGGCTTAAGTAAGTAAGTAAGTAAAACTAAGCTCTGCCAGTTAAAGAAAGTGGTTTGTCGATAAACATGTAACTTTTAGAATAATTACTAGAGCATTTAGAGGCCTCCAAATGCCCTGATGTGGCTGAGAGTGAAGAGGGCCTGCAATTTTTCTAGAAATGCTCTCACGGGGCCATACGTATACAGCCACTGCCAGTGAAGTCCTATTCACTGTGGGGGTGTTGTTTACGAAATTGAGAGGACGAAAAGCGAATGTGCAGCATTCTAACCAACTTGGTAGACATGAAAGATCCATCTAGGAGATTTGGAAAACCTTGATTCCAAACCAATGGTGCACATTGGCTGCAGTACTTTGAGGGTAAAAATAGAGTATGAATCAATTGTTGGTCACCAGCTACCATGGGACTACATCTTCTCACAATGCTCCATTGCCCTGTGGGTCAGACATTTAGTTCAATGGTTCGGGATGTGGACCCCAAAGAAAACCATCTGCTTCCGTCAGGGCGCCCGGGTAGTATCAAAGCCCTTACACAATTAAAATGAAACGAAAAATTTTTGTGCAGTCCATATATATCTTGTGTCCTCTTGTACCAATATTTATGTGTTCAAATAAATAAATTAAATAATTAACTAAGACTAAATACAGTTGTTAAGTGTCACGTTGATATCCTGGAAATTTCTATCAGGCTGTGTTATGCTTGAAGGCTAAATCGATTCCGCGGTAACGAACAAAAGCCAGTGACACAATGACACGATAAGCTATTCTAATCTGTTGTCCCAAGCCCCGCTAACTAGGTGAAGAAGTCCAAGGTAAGTAGGGGAATATATATGTATTCCGTAAGCAGCCGAGTACAAACAATCAAATAAGGGAAAAAGTCAAGCACATTTATACAGCAACAAATTGTCCTTGAGCATCATTAGTAAATATCACACACAAAGAAACAATTGACCAATAGCGTTTAAGATAGTTTAGAAGTGGGAAATATGACGTGAAGGTAAAAAGAGCGCGTTTGGCGCGAAAACAGCTAAACTCAAATTTCCAAAATGAAATTACCTAGTAAGTTCTGGGAATTTGACATCCCCAACATGCTGTGATTAGATGGAAACTCTTCGGCTTCTTTATGGCCTCTAGAAGCTTCGTAATGCTTCTCAAAAGTTGTCCCAAGAATTACATATTACATTCTTTTGGTAACTAAAAGACTAGTTTGGTTTTAATTAAATTTCTAAATCTTTCAATAAGTTCCATGTATATTATGATTCTTATCTTATGAACTCAATACCTAGGTAAAAGCTAGAAACTCAAACACTGATTAACTATATTAAGTTAAAAAAAAAGTAATAACACTTAGGAATTTCGCTCCTCATTTATTCAATGTAATTGATAAGTGAAATTGGATAATGGTAGTTGTAGCATTTTCATTGTTCATTCATTTGATGTGTATTGGATATGAATGAATAGTTTTCACTAAATATTTCATTTAAAGTCTCTGCCCCCAAATGCCCTGGTACGGCCGAGAGTTGGGAGAGTCACCTCTCCCTCTCAAAATACTCTCATATGGCCAGCGAATATATAGCCTCTGTCAGGGAAGTCCTACTCACTGCCTTCTCACAGTGGCGGGGGTGTTGTTTACGAAAGTGAGAGGACGAAAAGCGAATGTCCGGCGCTTTAACCGGGTTGGTGGACACGGATAGTCCACCTAGGGGAGTTGGAAAACCCTGATTCCAAACCAATGGTGCACATGGGCTCCAGTATCCTGATGGAACGAATGGCGGACGAACCTGTCATTGGTTAACGGCTACCATGGGACTGCATCTCCTCACGATGCTCCACTGCCTTGTGGATCAGACATTCGGGTCAAAGGCTCGGGGTGTGGGCCCCTAAGAAAACCACCTGCTTCAGTCTGGGCACCTGGGCAGTATCACAGCCGTCACACAAATCGAATGAGATTTGTAAGGCGCATATTTATCTGGTGCTTCATTGTACCAATATTTATGTGTTTAAATAAATAATAAATATCTATAGATATTAACAAATGTTTGATGTAAACACATTAGTACAATACAATCTAACATACCGGCTGAATAATATATAAATAATAAATGTCAAAGTTCACTAATGAATGACTTCAAAAGATATTTATTGGAGTTCTAGTAAGAAGCAGTGACCAGTGAAGTTCAACTAGGTCTGTTGTGAGATACCAACTCACTGAAGACAATTGTAGACTTTTGCTCAATTTCGTGGATTGGCTGAAGTTAGGCATTAACACCATTGGATGCTGCCCATCTCAGTGGTCTAAAGGTTATGCACTCAAGATCGATAGGTCTTGAGTTTGAATCACGTGACGCAGCAATCGTGGATGCCCATTGCTGAGGAGTCCCACAGTAGAACGAAACGGCCATCCTATGCCTACTGTTTTACCATTGTGGTCTAAATTCCATTCATTCATTATTTCAAAGATAAAGTCCCGACCGTTGCTGCTACCTTGACGTGGTGGTCGGGCTTGCCTATCGTGATGAACCAGTCGAGCTATGCTGGCTAGAACAATCGTTCCTCAAGGTTCTGCCATGCCAGATAGGTCGGTTGAAGAGCGGTAAGACTAAAAGCAACAATCCCAAGGTCCGAAGGCGAAGTCGTACTGCTGACTGTACAGAGGTGTGACAGCAGTAAGGTGTTTCCTTCAGACAATCAGCATAACAGAGATGCTGCCCTCAAAGAGGGGTGGGGTTAGAAAAGATCGACCCTAAAAATGCACACCTCGCCTTATCCCACGGATTTCCGTCTCCGGCGGTAAGGTCCTTTGGAAAACGGAGCTAACACGTTGAAAATCCCCCACAAAAAGGCCGTGCGTGACCTGCCTCAAGCAGTTGACCCTTGGGCACTGCGGTCACGCTCCCAGGTTGTTATGATCAACACTAATCCAACTTCTTTTTCAGGTCCCTCAAGAAATACCCTTCCACGGTGTGGGAAGCCGGGAAGTGATATTAGCCCTCATACCCGTAACTGCACACGAGACCAAGTTTGTCACTTTCAAATCCTTCCTACTGACTGACTCAACGATAAAGTTTGAAATGACAATATCGGTACTGGAAATTACATTTTCATAAGTATTGTCAATCAATTCAAATAGACAGGAAAACTACTTAAATTATTAAATGAAACTTATTTAAGAAATATTGAAAACATTAAAATAATCCCAACTGAATAATTCTAATCATTTAAACATAAAATAAAGATCACTTGGCCGGCATCCTACGGTGTTTAAGTCTAACTTCAAGTAATCCACGAAATTGAGCAATCATTCACCATTGTCTTCAGTAAGTTAATGTCTCACAACAGACGTGGTTGAACTCCACTGGTCACTGCTTCTCACTAGAACTCTTGAAAATATCTCTTGAAGCAAGTCACTAGTGAGCTTATGATTATTATCAGAAGGAGATTTTTTCGTGGAGATATTAATAATTAGGGTTTGAATCTCGCGAGTGCGGAATCGCAAATGTACACTACTGAGGTGTACCACAATGGAGCGAAACGGCTGTCCAATGCTTCCAAATTTTCCATGGTGGTCTACATTCAATTGACTGATGATTTCAAATATATAAAACTTACAAAAATTTCCACAAAAAGAACCCTTCTGACAATAATCATATGCTCACTAGTGACTGGCTTCAAGAGATATTTATTGGAGTTCTAGTAAGAAGTAGTGACCAGTAGAGTTCAACCAGGTTTGTTGTGAGATAGTAACTCATCGAAGACAATAGTGGAATGTTTCTCAATTTTTTAGATTAGTTGAAGTTAGACATCATTAACACCACTGAATTCCGCCTTGCTCAGTGGTCTAGAGATTAAGCGTTCGCTCACGAGACTGATATGTCCTGAATTCGGATCTCACGAGACGTAGTCGTGGATATTCACTACTGAGGAGTCCCACGCCAGGACGAAACGGCCTTCCAGTGCTTCCAGGTTTTTTTCATTGTGGTACAACTTCAATTGACTCATGTTTTCAACCCTATAATATTACTAAACTCTCCACAAAAAGTACCCCTTCTGATAAGATAAAGAATGAAATTTAAAAAATAATAAAAAGACCTACCCCGCTGATGAACCATCATTACATTTAGCTCCATCATTATTTAATAAATATAATTTATATGACTGATATTGTAATTTTAAATGATTCCATTCATTATGTTTATTATTATGATTATGTAATTTTTCAATTTTAGTTTCCATGGGTTTCTTAAGTGGTTCCCATGGTTCCTGATTAATATTGATTAAATTCCAATTATTATTATTATTAGTAGTAGTAGTAGTTTGTTGTATAGATGACAGTTTATCAGTAGTATATATGAATGTTTTATATGTAGATTTAGCTTTAACATGATCTAACCATGTTATAATAATAATTAAATAATAAAGTAGTATATATTGACGTAATGAAATAATATATTTGATTAAAAATGTGATTTCAGTTGATATTGAATAAGATTCATATAGGAAATCTGTAAGATTGAAATAAAAGAAAAAAAAAAGTTAGAAGGGGTGAATTGAAGGTTTTGGGTTCAGAAACACTGAATGGCTGTTTCGTTCTATTGTGTGAAATTCATTAGAAGTATATGATGTAGCATCATGGATGCGTACTGATGAGTGGTTTCATATCTGGGATGAAACGGACATTCAGTGCTTCAAACATTCTCATGATGATCTAGCTTTAATTGACTCAACAAAAAAAAATACTTTATATATTTATGGAGGGATTTCAAAAATCATATGTTGATTGACAACAATAAATCAAATTAGGTATACTTTTAAAAAATGATTAGTGTCTGATATTTGAGTATATTTAAACATAACAGATAAGTAGTTTAATAATAGAATTCATGAGTTAAATAAAATTAGACCACTATCGAAAATGTTGAGGCACTGGATGACCGTTTCGTCGTAGTATGGGTTTACTCAGCAGTGTGCATTCATGATCCTGCACGCGTGATCCGAACTCAGAAGCTTCGGTCTCGCGAGCAAGCGCTGAACTGTGATTCAGCGGTATTAATGTTTGACTTCGATCAACCTGCGATATTGCGCCACCGTCCTGCATTGTCTTCGATGAGTTACTATCTCACAACAGACCTTGTTGAACTCCACTGGTTACTGTTTCTCATTGGAACTCAAGGAAATACCTCTTGAAGCCAGTCACTAGTGAGTATATGATGCTTATTATCAGAAACGTCCATCCGATGCTTCCAGGTTTTTCATGGTGGTCTAGCTTTAATTGACTCATTAATTCAACTATTAGTTTTCTACAATCTCCACAAAACGTTTTTCTGATAATAACAGACGAGTCACATTTTTGAATCACATTTTTATACAAGAATTCATTCTAAAACATTCAACTATAGGGACTGTCATATCATAAGAGTTTCTAACACATTGTGAGAAATAGGTTCATTTACATGACATCACTTTGTAATTTGTGTTATATTTGTAGATGAAACCAAACAACTGAAAACTCTGTACTTAAGGTTTGTTTAAGTTTACACTTGAGATCCTAGGGAAATCCCGTAGCTTGTGAATTATGAAACAGTTATACACATTGTCATGAACTTCAGCGGTGAATCAATAATGTTAAAGTACAACTCTTGAATGACCATGATTGATTTCTATCAGTCAGAAATCAATACTAACAATAGTAGAAATGACCACAAAGTAATCAAGATCGTTCGAGCAACAGTACTCTAATGTGTTAGTGCTCTTCCTGGAATCTGAGAGTCATGCTTTAGATCCTTAATAGTGTCATGTATGCAACATAGTGAGGAGGCTCATATTAAGATTAAACATATATTTAGTAAATTCTTGTTTGTAATGACCGTTTAAATAAGGTTATTGCATAATGTTTACCATAAAATTACACATCTTAGTTATAAAGTATGATCATTTGAATCTGAAAATTTTGATATTCCCCTCTTCGAATGTGACACTATGTGACGGTTTTGAATTGAACTGAAATCATTAACTCTATCTAAAATTCGAAAATCTCAGTAACAGGATATGTTATATCTCTAGATTTCTATAAATTCCTGTAAAAACTAACTGTTTCTCAAAGCAAAACATTGTTAATATGCTTAATGGAAGGAATTATTTGATGCAAGCAAAACATTGTTTCCCGATATTTTGTGTACTACTGAGTTTATACTACTCGCAAATAATTTAGTAGTATGTTTCAATAAGGACAATAAGCCTCATTTGTAAATATGGGAATTTGTTAAGACTGTAGTATTTTCACAGTCTAAATCACAAACATAACATTAGCTAGACCACTATCGATGACCCTAAAGTACTCGAAGGTCATTTCGCCTCAATATAGGACTTCTCAACAGTGAGTATCAACAACACACACACCCGGGAATCGAAGTAATTTTAATTTTAGGAAAATTTTTGTTCCAGTTTTTTCAATGAAATGTTTGGATAAAATCTCACCTTAACACAAAATAGAGGCTAATGGAAATGACCCAAAAAATAACAAAAACAGCTTCACATTTAGACCAACTAGCCCAGGGAAAGTAAAACTGTTAAAATATTCCAACTTTCTTGTTTCTTAAAGATAAACATACAACTCAATGAACCTGGACAGTATGAAACAACTATGAAGTGACTAATTTCTTTTTGGAGTCATCACGGTAAAAGATATCAGCGATAGAGATCTGGCTAGAAGAATAACGTCAACAGAATAATAATCTAGAGTTCATAATCTCTCTGTAATTTGTAGGAATTTTGACAATCACAGTATGGATGATTGAATTAACTTCATTTATATAAATTCTCAACATGAATTTTAGTCATTTAAACTCACATATTTACTGTCATATTGAACTATGTAGTTTAAAATAACTTGACCGATTTGATAAATTTGGATAATGTAATGAGAATACAATGGTTGAGATAAGATGATGGTTAGAGGTGGTTAACAGGAAACCCTGGACACGGGTTTCGTGCTACTTGGCACTCGTCAGCAAGGTGTGCCTGTAATCATGTGAAAACTGGTGCTCCCTGATGGATTCGATTCCGTGTCACTCAGCTTCACAGTGAGAGAAGTTACCACTGAGTTATTCGGGCCGCGACCGACCTCCTGTAGGACTGAGATGTAACAACAATTGATTGATCATTGGGTGGTGATCAATGTCATGCGTGTCAAGTCCTTCTTAGTGCTGATTGAATGCTATCGATCAAGTTGTTTTTAGATCTATTTTATATATTAGGGTAATCAATTCAGAACAATCTGATCGCACATATACTTGTTAAGAACATTTATGTAATTGACCTATTATTCTTCATATATAAACGTTCTTAACGTGTATATGGATGGTAAGATGGTTCAAAATGTATTTCACTATTATACCACGCAGTTCTGATGATTTTTTAACTTTGAAGTATTAAGCTTTCTTAAAGGATATGAGTATTTCAAAAAACTTCATTAATATTTATTATACTAATTACAAACAAAATATGTCAAAATCCAGGATGGACGTTTCGTCCTACTTGGAACTCATCAGCCGAATGCACCTACATACCAGAGTCGATGAAAAGTAGAACATTGTTAATAGATATAATGAAAAGAATAATTTGATGTAAACAAAACATCGTTTATCTTTATTTCTTGATATTTTGTGTACTACCGAGTTTATATTACTTTCAAATAATTAAGTAGTATATTTCAACACGGAAAAAAGCCTTATTTGTAAATGTCGGGGAGACTGTAGTATTTTCTCAGCTGACGAGTCCCAAACAGGCTGAAACGCCCGTACTGGATCTCATTGTTAACCATCATCCATCTTTGTTTAGAATGCTTGTGATTTAAAGCAATCTCAAGGCAATCCCAACAGGATACACATATACCATTACGAGACGGATCAATTGCAATCTTAAACAAGATTCAAGCAAACAATACAAAATAAATAAAATATATCAAATCTAAAATGGTGAACAACTTTTTAAAAATTATTTCCACAGTTGCATTATAGACCATTCAATAATGAGAATTAACCATAGAAAGATGTTAAAATTTTTCTGTTCACAAATTTCCTTATGTATCATCAATAGATTTCAAGTTTGAGTCACACAATAAGATGAATAAAGTACTATAAATATTGAATGAAAAAAAAGTTTCTTGTAAGCAAATTACGATCAGAAGGGGATACGCACTGCTGAGGAGTCCCACAATAAGACGAAATGGCCATCCAGTGGTCTAGGTTCAACTGACTCATGCTTTCAAATATGAAAATGAATTATGGTTTATTCTATTATTTGTATGATATAGAAAAGGCAAAATAATAAATAATATACTTTTTTAATAGTTGAGATCATGAATCAATTGAAGCTAGACCACCATGGAAAACCTGTAAGCACTGAACAGTCGTTTCGTCCTATTGTGGGACTCCTCAGAGGTGCATATCTACGATCCCGCCTCACGAGATTTGAACCCAGGATCTATCAGTTTCACATAAAATAACACGGAAAAATCTCATATAGTTTCCATTTATTTATGTTCCCTAAAAAACAATGTAAATTTAAGTTTCATGATGATGATGACGATAATGCTGAAGTCTTTTAGTAAAGAAACCAATTAAAATTTCTATAATGAATAGTCTCAAACGGTTATTATTTAATAGTTGAATTCATAAGCTGATCAAAATCTAAACCAATATGGAAAACCTGAAAGCACTGAACATTTGTTTCCTCCTAATGTGTGACTCCTCAGCAGTGCGTATCCAAGATATCAAAGTTCCTGGTTTTGAATCCTGCGAGCAGGATCATGAAGGAGTCCTATACTATGATGAAACGATCATCTAACTTTAATCGATTCCTGAATTCAACTATTAAAATCTCTATCATCTTCGGGAAACCCCCCTTTCTCATAATAATAATTATTATTTATTATAATAATTAATTAATTACTTAATTCATTAAAATGTTTAGATTTTTTTGAAAAAAAAAGGGAACAAACGAAAGAAAAATTTGTGCGGATACACATACACATTAAAGTTTATTTCAAAGGTCAAGTTTACCTGTACATACTTGGAAACTTACACACACACACACACACATACACATACACATGCACACAAAAACAGCCAAAATGCATTCATTCATTAAGATACTACTTCATTCATAAACATTTTGTTGAATTAGATCAAAGGAAAACAAAAAAAACTTTTTTTTAATGTTTACAGTTTACTATTTAGAGATGAATGAAGAAAAAAAATTTTAATTACTGATGAATAAAACAAAGAAACGACGAGAAATGAAATGGGGGGGGGCAGCAAAAAAAGAAGAAGAAATTTAATCAATAATAATAATACACAAATTTGATCTGTTTTTATAACCACTACTGTAGTGAACAGAACACTGGTTGGGGACAATCGAATGTATTAAAGAATAAATTACAGACTATCTCAGTAAATTCTGACAACCATACAATGAACAGTCAATTTGCAAATTAAAAAGCAAT